TTTACCTCATAACCTCCTACCCTAAACTCCCCACCCCTTACCTCTCTATACTTCCAACATTTTTAGCAGTCCCCGATGTAACCATCACCTATAACTGTCCCTGGCAGGAAGATACTAAATCAATTTCCCACCACCTTTCTTGGAAAATGTGTACTTCCCAGGCCTATTTACCACTTCTCATTGCGGTTCAGCCTGGAATATGGGCTGACATTAAATATGGACAGTGACCTAACAATCAGAAATAGAGGATTCCTTCTATTTAGATGCCCTGAAAAGATGGTGAAGGGATGGCCCCAAGGCCTTCTGGTAGCAAGTGTGAGAAGCAACACACAAGAGGTCAGGTCAAAATTGACCTTTGAGGGACTCGAAAATAACTGAACTAATAGATTGGAAGGAAACAACAGCATCAGGGAGTTCACTAAGTTAGCTAATTCAATAGCACGCAAGCTGAGAAGGAGCTGTCAGAAGGACGTAGCCAGCAAGCCAATGCTCTGACTAAAGAAGACGTTATAAAGGGAGAGAAAATGAGGGCAGAAAAATAATACTGTATTAATTATTAACTGTAAGGTTTTTCAGTGGCGGTGAAAAGAAAAGACAAACAGAGAGAAAGAGTGGGGGCCAAACCACGTGGCTTTATTATACACTCGTGGACGAGGTTCTGGGGCCCCAAGAGAGGGGGGGCCCAGAAGTCGCTGCAGTTTGAAGGGGCTGAGGCCTTTTATACCCTTTGGGCCTGGCTAGGCACTTTTGGCGGGAAGAGCCAGGGATTTTAAGAGGGGCTGGAAGTATTTGTGGAATCCAAAAACCAAAACGTTCTTATCCAGGTGGACGTCTGGGTGTGGTTCCTCTCAGCAGGGCCTGGCAGTTTTGTCCTTGGAAGGTCTGGTCTCATGAGCCTTTTCTTTTTTGATCTAGGGAAGGGAGGGTGCCCGCCACCAGCCTTACATTAACCACGTCAGACCCTGTGCTAAACAACTACTCACAACAGCTCACAGAAGAAGGTATTATTTATCTTTATTTTATAGATGAGGAAACTGGGGCCATGAGAGGATAAATTCATGGCCCTCCTCACAAATAGACAGGACTCAAAACTGGATCTATTTGATTTCAGGGACAAGTTCTTAACTTCTAATGTCAGGACAATTTAACAAAAGAAAGAAAACAAGAACCTGTATCTCACTAATATAACCAGTGACTCACCCAAGCCTTAAGGTAGGTTTAATTTAACAACTGGAAACCAATGAGCACACCTCTTCTAGCGATAAAGGTTTCAAACCAGAGAACACAGTAGGAATCTACAATCCTAAAATGGATTTGCTCTAATAGCACACACTTTGCAAAAAGTCGACTCAAAGTAGGTTTTAGGTCACTTTAGAGTCATATCCTGCCTCCATAGGATTTCCTACTGTTCTTTACAAATGGTGAAGTTGAATTCTTTTAGCTTTAATTAATAAAAGTTCCATGTGGAAACACAGGAGACTTGAATTTTTGAAGTGCTTGAAGAAATCTGTCCCCCGTTTCTCAGTGTCACATGGAATACACATATATTGTGCAAGTAGATCAGGAGCAGCACTGCTTTACATGGCTGGAGATCAGAATGTGGCACAGAACTGAAACCTAGCCACTTTTTAAAACAAATAAGTAAGTATTCCCTGATAGCACCAACAGCCAAAACTACCCATACAAGACCCCTCAGGCTAAAGGAAAAGAACAATTAATTTGTGAAAGCCAGGAAACAGATGGAAACTAATTAAGTTGGGAGAAAAGGCATAAAGCAAGGACTGAAAAGAAAAACAAAGACTCAGTTGACTCTCCTGGCTTCAGCTCTCACCTCTTTATTGTCAGGCACTGGGGCCTATGATAGGTGTATAATCAAATTCAAGCTACTATACATACATAGTTAACCTTATGGAGCAAGCAGCCAAAGTGTCAAAATCCATAAAAAGAAAAAGAGGATAATTCACAGATGAAGCATGAAGAAAATGCAATAGAATATAAGCAACTCCCATGTTCCAAATGCCCAGAATTATTGTCTAAATGATTGCTCTTTATTCCTTAATGTCTCCCAGGGAGAAATTAACAGAGACAGGCAGAGATAGAAAGATCCTTCTCTTAAACAAATTAAAAAAAAAAAAAATAAGTGGGAGAATTGAATCAAGATGGCTAAGAAAATGCACATTTCTCTGCTTTAGGCCCAAACTCATAAAATGACAGTTATAAAATGAAATATGAAAAAGATAGAGCTATACCAGTCCTAGAAACCAGAAAGTATGCCATAGGCTGACCAGAGCATGAAAAATAACTGCAACATATAATGCAGGTGAAATTGTTATAATAGAGAAAAAAGAGAGAAGCAAACATTATCCCAAAAAAGGTCCCAGAGAAAATTACCTTTGAGGTATAAGCAATTCCAAGGCTGTTCTAACAGTGGAATAAAACAATTATTAAAAAATTAGGAGAAGACAACCACCAGGGTAGTTAATTTTACAACTTCATTAAGCTGATTCAATCAAGTTCGCTTATAATGAGCAGCAGAGGGATGACAGATGCCCCTAGGATAAGCCCCTAAGTAATCCTTTTAAATAAAACAATAGTAGGACAAGAGAGAAGAAGGACAGCATAGATTAAACATCCATGTTCTGCTGACATTGGAGGGAGAAACAAAGGTAGGGAAGTGCCTGACTCCAGCCGATAGGCCAAGGACAAAGCCCGGAGCTGCCCTGTCTAAACTGAAGTTCTGATACCAGACTTGAATCTGGGTAGAATAAGGCAGGTGTTGGTAATTTATGTCCTTCAAAAAGAAAGGACTTAATTCCCAGGAAATCAGCAACACCCGCAGACCTCTAGTCACAGGGCCTGTCCATCCCCCAGTTAGGACCACTATTCCCTGAAGAACCAACGGAGAGTCTCAAACACACATTAAACACAAATCCAACAATAATGAAACAACTTGGGACAAAAACACCATCATTCATTGATTCTACAAATGTTTACTGTGTACCAATTACATAAAGAACGGAAACTTTTAAAGATGTTAAGGGGTATAGCAGTGAACAAAGTACTGTCATCTTGAAGTGTATATGCAAATGGGGAGGGGAGATTCAAAAAAATACCCAAATAAACATAATAAACCATGAGTCCCAGGAGAAAACTAAAGCAGGGTGAAAGGGATAGGAAGTAATAAATGACTAAAGAAAATTAACTTCACACAAGGTAGAAGACAAGAAGCAATACAGAGAAAAGTAAGCAATAAAAAACTTCCAATCTGAATGGCAAAGTTCATGCTTTGTCCCTCTTTGCTTCAAAAACACACCAACAAGAAGTAATATAGAAAAACAGGAAATCAGAAAGCCATTTCCAGGACCCAAAACAAGGTAAAAGTCTCTGTCAATATGAACCCTTGCAGATATCCAATGACGGGCATGGCTCACCTGCCTGGCTCCAGATTGTGATGCAGGCAGTGGATGGAGCACTCAGCTCCTATAGGACGAGGGGGCCCAAGGTACTCGCTGCAGTAAGGAAATTGGCCTAGGACTGTTGCTTAAAACCAGGAGGTTAGGGTAGCGCTACAGACATTAGAAAAGAGGCTGATGAAAATTTCTGCCTAATGCTGCCTGAGATTATGAGGCTGATGGAAGCTAAAGGACAAAGACACACTTTCAAAATGGAAAGAGTGACGGAGGGGCTCCACATATGGATGTGGATCTAGCCAATAAAATCCCTGTCAGAAAGAACCCCAGATCAATTATAAGACATGATTTGGAATAGAGATAATCATATAACTGTTAGGGAGTGGGGAATCCAGAGGAAGAGAGTAAGTAACCAATCAAAATGAGTTTTCCAACCTAAATTTTAAAACACTTGGAAAAAAATTTAATGTTAAAAAGCTAGCCAACAAAATCAATACTCAGAAATGACATTCCTTCAGATTAAATGAATTGGATAGGATGCTATGATGAAGACTCTTTTTTTTTTTTTTTTTTTTTGAGACAGAGTCTCATTTTGTTGCCCAGGCTAGAGTGAGTGCCATGGCAACAGCCTAGCTCATAGCAACCTCAGACTCCTGGGCTCAAGCGATCCTCCTGCCTCAGCCTCCCGAGTAGCTGGGACTACAGGCCTGCGCCACCATGCCTGGCTAATTTTTTCTATATATATTAGTTGGCCAATTAATTTCTTTCTATTTATAGTAGAGATGGGGTCTTGCTCTTGCTCAGGCTGGTTTCCAACTCCTGACCTCGAGCAATCCATCCACCTCGGCCTTCCAGAGTACTAGGATTACAAGCGTGAGCCACCATGCCCGGCCGACAAAGACTCTTAAAAATAGCATTTCTCATACTCAAAGACATGACAGTGATGATGATGATGATGTAGGTGCCACTCCTGATAACAGTAATAAAAAACTTACTATGTGCCAAACATTTTACATGAAATAATTCATTTATTCCTTGCACAATCCTCCCAACAATCTATGAGGTAAAAAATTAAGTTATTCTGATTCTACTGTTGAAGAAATTGAGGCATGGTCAAGTTAAATATCAGCTGCTGTGTAAAGAGATAGAATTCAAACCTAAGCAGGCTGCCTCTAGAGGCTGTACATTTAACAATACCAAACTCTCTGAAGGAACAAAGAAAATGTATTGAATCCCTTTAGAAAAGACAATGAAAAGAATAATGAAAGAATAAGACAATGAAAAGCATATGGAGGCAGAAATGAAACAAGAATTTTTGGATATGTGAACTAAAATAAAATCTTAAGGCCCCTAGTTCACTAAATAGACTCCCCCCACCCTGGCCAAGGAGACTCCCCTTGACCCCAAAAAAAACCCTTAAAGCTCAGTTGCCAGCCATGAGGAAAAGGGAGGTCTGACACACCTACTTATGTCCTGTCCCTTTTGGAGTTATTTTTCGTAATAATAAGATACAAAATCATTAACAAGCCTAAGGCCATGTAAGACAAATGTTAAACCACACCTGCAGGTCAGCAACTTACTTAACAGATCATTTGAGTATCAATGTATGTCCAGTGACTTGTCTCTGATTAACAGACTTCCTTACCTTACCTTAAAACATTCTAAGCCTTTAGACAGAGCTTCATTTATTCCACCAATTACAAATCAAAGAATCTTTAAACTCACCTATAACCCATAATCCCCTCCTTCAAGGTGTCCTGCCTTTACAGGCCAGACTGATGTATACCTCCCATGTATTGATTTATGTCTTTCAGTATAATTCCTGACTCCCTAAAATGTATAAAACCAAACTGCAACCCAACCACAGTGGGAACACTTGTTCAAAGCTTCTTGGGCGTGGTTCTCCATGGTTGCACATATTCCACTCAGAATAAACCTCGTTAGATTATTTTACAGAGTTTGGGTTATTTTCCACAGATGGATATAAAGAGAAATATGAGGAAGTAAAATAGATAGTTATTCAAATAAAAATATATGTGATGAATGCTGGACTGGCCAAAGTAAATTAGAGAGTTAGAAAATGACAAGTGTTGGGAAATTCATTCAGAATGCAGCCCAGGGAGACAAGAAGATTGTTAAAAATAACACGAAAGAGCAATTATGTCACATGAAGGACAGATTGAGAGGTTCTAATAATTGGTTGTTAGGAGTTCCAAAGGAAGAGAATAAAGAGAATGCTAGACACAACGTATGATGAAATAATGCCTGAGAATCTTAAGAACTGAAGAAAGATGTGAGCTCTCAGATCCCATGCTTGCCTGAAAGATAAGGTAGGGTTAATAAGGAAAAATTCCCACATAAGCCTATCAAAGTGAAATTATAAAATATTTAACAAAAAAGGAACCATCTTAAGGGCTACTAGAGAAGATTGATAACGTACAGGAAGGGAAAAAAAAGACTATATTGATAGTAGAGTTCTCTTTAGTAAAATAAGTCCCGAGATAACTGTAATATTTAGTATTGAAAAAAATTAAACAAGAACTAAGTAATCAACTGAGATTGTATCATTGACTCATTTCATGTATTGTCACTTCTCATGAGACAAAGATACTGCCCCACTCCATTGACACAAGGCCAATGAAACAGAGGGGAAGTGACATGTACCCCTTAAAGCAGAAACTTTAACATACAGTTTGGATCTTGCCTTGGTCTTTCTTTTTTGCCACAAAAATGACAATGTTCCAGACTGGGACTGCTCTAATTCCCATTCTGATTCCTAAAATGAGTAGACATGAGCAGTTGACATGTAGCCAACAATTTAATGGGAGCAGAAAATACACCTTGGTTGTTACATGCATAGCAAAAAAGGCAAAATAAAGATGTTTCCAGACACACACTAAGAGAATTTACTAATCACTGACCATCACTAAAAAGAAATAAAAAAGATTATTAAAGGATCTATTTCAATATATAAAAAAAAGGAAAACGAGTATATCATGAGATATAAGAAATGGAGGATTTTTATCAATGAGAGGATTTTACTTCAGTGAGAGGATGAACTTGGTAATCTTTATATGAATTTGACAGTTATCTTGAGCTATCAGAGAAGTATAACATTCAGTTGTTTTTCTATCTTTCTTTTAAATTCTAAACCAGAGAAACCTTACTTAATCCAATAGGTCACCAGAGGAATGACTACAATCATTTGGTGATTCTCTAGGATGTTGTAAATAATCAGATCAAACACAGACCCTGAAAGAGTGTAGGGAGGGGTATGTCATAGACAATGACTTCCAGCATTTTATCTGAAGGTAAGTTATCAAATTTAACACACTGAAAAGTTAGAGGTTAAACATTTCCACTAGGGAAATAAAAGCAAATATATTTCTAAAAGGTAGTCATTAAACTGATTAAGTCTTTCTGAATTAAATACAGGGAATAAGGACTACAGATCACTTCTCTATAGTTAAATGGCCTTGGATTGTTGGTAAGGTACTAGGGGTGTCAGATAATCCTTGTAACAAAAGCCAAGTTCTCGGATAGACTTCCCCATAGTTACACATGACTCATCATTAATACAAATATTATAAGACAGACATCTAGGGAAGAGTATCAAACCTAACATTAATCGAGCCATTCTGGAACCATGTCAAACCAGAGCACAATACAGATGCATAAACTATTCTATTTTTTATAAATAATTAAGTTAAAATCTCCTTTCTCTTTCAAGGACAAGCTATGGAGAATGAACAGAACAAAAAAGGCAATCTGCTAATAACAGACCAAAAACAGTTTAGATACGTGAACAAATCAAACTGAAATTCACCACTCTTTTTGCAAGCTGGGTAAATTGGATGCTTTACTTTAATGAGCCATGGAGAAGGACTGATTGATTATAGGGGATGTTGCTTTATGGTTTACTGTTCACAAATCACTGATCTCCTTATTGTATTGTCTATATATAGTAATCTGTTTTCTCCTTCTTGTTTTTTTTTTTTTTTTTTTAGGAAAAGAAAAGAGGGGACAGGTGGGGGAGAATTTTATATCTTCAAAATTATCCTCACATATCAAAACTGACAGGCCTTTGAAGTTTAAAAGCACCTTTCACAATTCCAATTTGGTAAAAGCAAAAACAGAGATTTACACCAAAGAGATGACACACATAAATTTTGACCTTGAAGCCTGTGGTCTGCCAATTATAAATTTCGTATTTTTCTAGGCCTATCTTTCTGGCAATATCAATAGGACATATAAGCTAGCAAATGGATGTAAAATAAATTTATATAATTCTTTACAAATAAAGAAACTCAATCTAGGAAGAAATATTTTTAAAAATAATCTTCGCAAGAAGCACAGAAGTTTTCTCTTGCTCCTCTCTGAAAGTAACTTTACCACTCAACACTCAAATTGAGATATTTATTAAGCAATAAAAGAAAGTAGACTGAAAGTAAATACAAGAGTTTTTGTAAAAAACAATATCACAAAATTGCTAATACTATACTAAGTATATTAAAATACTTGTTAAAATTTAGTTCCTATAAAAGGCAGACAGAAAGATAACCAACAAACAAATAAAACCAGCATAACTAAGTCTTTTTAGGTAAATATTCAGTTATACAGTGTGTGTATGTGTGGAGGAGGGGCTTCCACAATAATTTTGAACCAAATACATATTTTGAAGTTCCTTCCAACGCTTTTAACACTTTTCTAGGTCATTTGTTTTTCACTGTCAATTACAGACATACTCGTGCCTGTTAAAGGCACATCTGTAGTATGGTTTATCGTCCCGTTTCTTTGAAAATTTCTTTGACCTCTAAATCAATTGGTTAGGGTCATTTCACAAGAACAGGCTATGCTTTCTAATTCACAAATGTTTATTTTCTAATTCAAAAGTGTTATAACATCTGGGAAAAATATATTCACATGAAAACTAAGCAAAAATCCAAAGATAATACTTATGTGTGTAATCATTTCATTGAAGTTTGTAAAATTAAATTAAGTAAAAATTATCAATGACAATTCAGTGCCTATCTTTTCCTCAAATTAATTTGTTCAAAATTATTTCCTCAAAATAATTTATTCTCAAACTTAAAGTTCAAAACTTTTGTATCTAGATTTTCAAGGTTAAAAAAGAAGTGTGTGATGGTTTAAAATCTTAGAAAAGAGAAGTAAATATTTATGTATGGTAAGACCTATATAACAGCACTTCTCATATTTAAGGGAGTTTTTCTCCCTGAAATCAATTTTAGGACCATGATTAACAATAAAAGGGAAATTTATAGTCTTAGCAAAAATTAAAAATTACCATTCTACAAGAAGATTTACATAATAAGAAGCCATTTAAAACAACTCCATTCTGAAATCATAAAGAAATCCTTTGTAGTATTTGTTTGTAAAATTAAAGGAAGCAAGAACTTTCATTTAAAAAATACATTATCATTACTTGCCTCAGTAAAACTATTGTTTCATTAATGAGCTGATGTGCATTTTTAAAATGTATTAAAGCAAAGAAATATCACACTCAGAAATGTAAAACTGCTTACAACCTATAATCCTAGCCTCCAGTTAATCTGAAGTATGGACGCCTTTCCTTTTCTTTCTTTCTTTGTTTTCAAAGCATGAGAATGCTAGAAAAGATAAGCTTCCATAAAATCCTGGCAATTAATTAATAAATTCAAGTATATGCTATCTTCAATGCAAAAACAATAAAGAAAAGATTTTGAATCATTGGTCCTTTATAGGAAATAGTGCCTTCGGCAAATTTTGAAGCAACTTAGCAGAGAAAATAACATATCCCATGATTTCCACAAAATGTATTGTGATGTTCTGAAAATATTCAAAGTCAAATGCAAAACATATTGTAAAACAGGTAAGGGAAAAGGTTTAAGGACTTAATTTTCTACTCTTACAAGGAAATTTCTTTATTGAGTTTTAGAAAATCTCTCTACAGTTTTAAATGAAGAAAAAAATATGACTCAAAAACATATGTATACATGTGTATATGTATGTATACTAGTATATATGTTAATGAGACAGAAAAAAAGACATTTCATATATATGCTATATAACTTGCATTATTTTATTTCTACCATAAATACTGCCACTGAGCTACCTCTATTACAAAGAAGACATTAAAGTAAAATAGTCATAAATGTTTTAACCCCCAGAGACCTTATTTCATATTTTCCCTTATAAGGTGACTCAAACATCTTGCTCCATTACATGAATGCAACATACAATTTCCCATTAACCTACAAGGATATTACTCTCTGGAGCATATCACCTACATCTTGTTTCAGGTACACAACAGTTGTAAGGGTCAAATCGAAATCCCATTCCTCCTTAAATAAATCTTTAAGTATAGCCATGTTGCTTTAATCTCACAGTCATCCCCTCCTTTTTAATCTCTCCTGTTCCCATACATGAACCTTTTCATTTCATTCATTCTTTCTTTCTCATCCATAGAAAATTTCAAACATATAAAAAAGTATAGAATATCATATAATGCCTTGCTATTCACATTGTCTTGATGAATATTTGAGTTCTTTTCTGATTTTTGCCATTATAAATGATGATTCTATGAATATTCTTGCACATACTACCTATTAGACATGTGCAAGAGATTTTTCTCAGGTAAATACCTAAAAGCAATATTACTGGAACATATGGTATATGAGTATTCAACTTTATAATATGATACAATTTTTTGAGAAGTTGTACAAATTTACACAACACCAACAATTCATCAAACCCTGGTGATCCATACCCCTTCCAACACTTCATGCTGTAATATTTAAATTTATGCTAAAAGAGTATAAAACAGGATATTATTTAATTACTAATTTACAATTACATCACATTTCTTCCTATGTTTATTGGACCTGAGTGTCTTCTCTCAACTGTCTATGCATGTCTTTTGCCCATTTTTGATTGAGTTGTTTTTTTCTTATTGATTTGTAGACATTCATTTATTCTTTATATTAATCCCAGGTAGAGTATAAAGTTTAGAAATAGTATCTATTCCCTAATCTGTATTAGGTCTCTTTGCTTTTTCTTTTAAAGCATCTTTTCATGAAATTCTGTATTTAATTTTTAAAAAGCCAAAACTCTCAAAGAATAAGTATAAAGAATGAATAAATTCAGTCATTCACTAGTCTATTCTATATCCATGTTATAAACAAAAATAGATGAAATCAGTATTCTTCCCTATGACTTACTAAAAAACATCAGCTTTACCAAGAAGCTCTTTGCATTAGTTATCAAACTTACATAACTAATGCTACTGCACTGAACAAATTTCATGTTTGTTTTGTGTTGTTTCCCCAATTATTAGATTAGATTAAATTAAGGCATCACATAAGAATCTTACGGAACAGCCACATTTAGTTTCTCATTAGATGATGACAGCAAACAGAAGGCTATTTAACTATTGAAAGCATTCTTCAAAGCTCATTTATTAATAGAAAGAATAATAAATTACCATTCTGTCTCTACTTCTGTAGAAAAATAAGAGAGAGGAGTCCTTGCTTGCTCTAAAAAGGTTGTGAATAACCAAACCACATAACAATAAATTTATTAGAACTATTTGGAAAATATACTTTGTTATAATTTCATTTATGCAGTTCTCTTTACCATCAAGTCTGAATTATACCACATCCCTGAGGGCAGACATGAAATGGGTACAACGAAAAAGATCAAGAGTCAAAGATGAGGGAATCATAAGGTAGAGTTTTTTTGAGTAACCCTAACTATTCCAGAATATTTTTCAAGATATTCTCACAATACCTCACAATTCACCAAGCACAAGAGATACAAGAATGAATAAGATAAGTGTCTTTACCCTCAAGGAGTTCATAGTCTATGTAAGAGGAGACCAAGCTATCTTAAGCTCAAATTGGGAGGCATCATTGGAATGAATTAAGGAAGAAAACATAGAGGGGCCATAAATAGGAAGTGAAAGAGGTTAGAGATGAAAAGGGGAAGAACAGAGGCAGGAATTCCAGGTTACTAAAACTATGACATATTTTTAAATTAATCTCAAATTCTAGCCAGCTAAACAGGAGATACAAGTGTATAAAATAACAAAATTACTAAAAAATATGCCAAATATATGTTAGCTTCCTAGAATACATACATTAAAAGGCATTAGGCTTTGAGAAGCTTAAATAATACTAAGGAACTAGGTGGGTGTATATGTGTATACATATATTTTGTACACACACATGCATATATATAAAATTTGTGTATACTATAACAGGCTTATCATATTAGAGGCCAATGAAATTCTTTTTAAAAACGAATATTACATAAAAATGTTTCAAAATGAAAGCATTCTTAATTTATACATTCCTGAATTAAAATTTATATAATCATACAGTTAAAAGATTATAGATTAATTTTAGCAACATCAAAAACTATATCCTTTAAAGAAATCCTATAATACCTTGAGGAAAGGACAACAGGAAAAAAGGTATCAAACAGAGTAGGTCTCTAAGTAATTCCCTGCAATAGTGGATGTAAGGCAAGGCAATCTTGAAAGTATCAAACCATCTATTCTGTTTTAGTCTTTTTCATTTGCTATCATATTAGTAAAGTGGTCTTTTAAATACGTTGCTCCAAGCTTTTGAAGTAAAAGGCTTAATTTATTAAATTAGGTTCATTGTTTTATACTGCCTATAAAGGCTGGCACTGGTATACATAAATCATCTCAGCTGTACTTTGTCCAGGATATTTAAAGACAAGTATAACAATCAGGCCATACACCTGTGTGTCAGGAAAATATATTTCCTTTCATGTGCATGCAATTCCAAAATAAAGTATAAAGACTCAATTTAAATTTGCTGACAACAAACCCAACTATGGAAGCATATTTAATAGCTCATTAAATAACTACCACTTTGTGGCTTTCCTACTCCCTTTACTTAACTGACATCTCTTTATCATGAATCCACCTGGGAATTCAAAATCATTTCATTATATAGTATCCTAAATATTGTGTTATTAAATGAAAGACACTAAATAAAATAAGATGAATTAGTGGCCCAGAAAGGCTTTTCTTAATTCATTAAAAATAAATATCCAATATCAGGAACACAAATAGTTTAAATATTTACTACAGAATTTTAAAACATACCAAAAAACACAAACATGTTCTTAATAATATCTGTGATAAAATGTTAATACTATAGTGTTTCCTATTTTTCTATCACAATACAAATCTAAATAATCACATAAATTTTGTACATTCAATTAGAACATGCTTTGTGACCTATAAATATTTGTAGTATCATCTCATTTTGAAACCAATATTAATGCAGTTTTTTGCTAAAATCTACAGATCAATAAATACAGATATAAATAATTCTTAAGTTTCTGACCTTTCTAATACATTAAGAATGTCTTTCTTTAAATGTAGCAAAATGTAATTTAAAAATTACTATAAGCTGACAAAGACAAATTATGTTAATCAGAAGAGTCAATTCTTCATTGAGTGAGAAGTAAGTAATAGCAGTGATGTGAGTAGCTGGAAAGAAGAAAATGTCACGGGTAATCCTAAATTTGAGTTACACCACAATCTTCTTCCCTCTGTCTGGGCTTAGACACTCAGTAGAGAATTAACCATGGACGAAGTGACAAAGAGACCTAGGGCATGCTCACTGTACCAGTACTAGTCAACAGTTGAGGGGGCCTAACTGCCTGGCAGGGAGAGAAAGTAAAAAAAGCAAATTGGTTTGTTCTCTTGCAACCTAAACCTTCCTAAACTTACAGAATTCCAACTTTAAAAATAGTAGCCAAAGAAAGAAGAAAACAAAGTTAGTTATTCACTAAATCTTTATCAATACAGGGCCAGTGGAGCAAGTACACACCTTTGGAGTTGAACCAAATGAAATTGCAGTTTTTGGAGGTCAAAACAGTTCAACCGAAGTTCCAAGAAGATTCAAAATTAGGATATGATAATTAAAACTAAATGAGTTTTTTAATGTCTTGCATTTATTACTGAGATATTTAAAATTTTTAAATCTTGAACACTTAGAAATATTTCATAAAATTTTGTAATTGTGTTGAATGAGGGAGTGTCATCAAAAATTATGATGAGGCCGGGCGCGGTGGCTCACGCCTGTAATCCTAGCACTTTGGGAGGCCGAGGCGGGCGGATCGCTCAAGGTCAGGAGTTCGAAACCAGCCTGAGCGAGACCCCGTCTCTACCAAAAATAGAAAGAAATTAATTGACCAACTAAAAATATATATACAAAAAATTAGCTGGGCATGGTGGCGCATGCCTGTAGTCCCAGCTACTCGGGAGGCTGAGGCAGTAGGATCGCTTGAGCCCAGGAGTTTGAGGTTGCTGTGAGCTAGGCTGAGGCCACGGCGCTCTAGCCCAGGCAACAAAGTGAGACTCTGTCTCAAAAAAAAAAAAAAAAAAATTATGATGATATTTTGATTGGATGAATGACAAATAAAATATGCAACACAAAAAAAGTCAATAGGACCATTCTCTCTTGGACATAGACAGGATGAATGCAAAGTGGCCCCCAAAACAAATTGTTATATCTGATTATCCAGTTGGAAGTGTTTGGGGACAGTAAGTAAAAACTGTATTTGAGAATTTGACAGTTTATTAAAACAGAAAAAGTGTAACTAATTGTCAGGAAACACCAGCATGCAGGCTCCAGCTAGAAAGAAGTATCAGCATATTGTTAAATGAAAAGGAATAGAATATTTATAAGAGTTGGTGGAGAGAGCAAAGTAGTAGATGGAGAAGTTTGATTGGGTAAGAAATTTCTTTTTGTTTTGGTTTGGTTTCCTTAGTTTTTTTTTTGTTTTTGTTTTTGAAACAGGGCCCCACTTTGTTGCCCTAGGCTGGAAAGCAGTGGTGTGATTATAGCTCACTGCAGCCTCATACTCATGGGCTCAAGTGATCTTCCTGCCTCAACCTCCTAAGTAATTTGGTCTACAGGTGCATGCCACCACACCTGGCTAATTAAAAAAAAAATTGTAGAGATGGTGTCTCACTATGTTGCCCAGGCTGGTCTGGTACTCCTGGCCTCATGTGATCCTCCTAGTTCAGCCTCCCAAAGTGCTGGGATTACAGGTGTGAGCCACTGTGCCCAGCTGGGTAGGAAATTTTGAAAGAGTTTAAGATCACGTTCCAAATCATATCCAGCAATCAACTACCATTAGTCATCTCTATCATTAACAAATTTCACAGAAAACATGTCTAAAAAGTAAAATTAGTCTACTGAGTTTAATTTTTCAGAGCAATGGCTATCATGTTAGATGATCTCCGACAAGGATTTGAACTGTAAATGTTAAAAAAAAAAAAAAGACAGGTCCAATGAACATGAAGACTGGCATTAACATAACAGATTTAGGAGAAAGATCATATGATATGGGGAATATTGAATTTTGGAAACAGGTAAAACTAAAAACACAAAGGATGGGATATCCTCCTCTATATCCAGTTAGTCATTAAGTGCTATTAAATGTTCTACACTATACTAATTAGATTGTGATCTTAGGCAACAACAGATTTCACTCAATAAATACTTTACTTTTGGGGGACTCAGATTCGTAACAATAAAAAGATAGGATTGGATTAGATAATCTCTAAGGATCTTTCCAGATTTAGAAGGACATGATTCTGAGCAGGCCTCCACATATTTTCTCTAGACCAAATTACTATACTCAATTTTTTATTAGATATGGAAAGTTTGCTTATATGGTACTGTGGAACACCCTGAACCCTTTTCACAAAGAAGCTTTGCATAGTTCTCCAATTAGGGAACATAATATTCCATTGGCCTAAGTCAATACTTTTTCATATTTTAATGTGTATTTGAATTAGAGATCTTGTTAAAATGCAGGTCCTAATTCAGGAGATCTGGGATGGGGCCTGAGATTCTACATGTTTAACAAGCTCTCAAGTGGGCCATACTTTTGAGTAGCAAAGGTCTAAGATACTTTGGAGGTAGGCGTGGCTTTGAAAAAAGATGTAGCAGAAGTCTACACTAGCTTTTCTAAAGTCTATAGAGCAATAGTTTGATGCAATATTCCTATTCTAGATGAAATACAGAGCATATTTACAAATTTCAACTTTTTTTCAAGTCCCTTGTAACAAAGGCACAATTTCCTTTCTGCTGCTAATATTTCAATCTATGGCCATAAATTAATGATGTTAGTTAGAAAGAAAACCATATCTACATCTCATTTATGCAGTACTTCTTAGAGAATACAGGTTTTAAACAGCTATGCTCTATTTCAGAAACAATAGTATTGATATTTGGGATTGATTCACAAAAAATTTGACTTTTAACCCTTAATGAGACAAAGTGTTTTTTCAAATCTCAATTGAAATCCAATTTTTCCTATATGAAATTTATTTTTGATCATTAAAAGTAGCCTGGCAACATTATTTCTGTTTGAAAATAAAAGTCATCAAATATTTTAACGATACTTTCTTTACAAAGCAAGAATTAGAGGCTATACTTCTTATAAGAAAGTGTCCAATACTAGGTTATAAAATCTAAAAATTGAAAATATTACAGAGAAGCAGTTACAGACTTAATAATATGTTTAAGTGTATCTGTAAGTCATTTGCTTCAAATTCAGAACTTAATTTCCCACTTACAAATGGTATCTCTTGGCTAGATCACAGTACATAATCAAACGAATAATTTGGTTGAAATGTTGTGTTTGTCTTGCCAAAATAGTTATACATCTGAAAAACTCACCAATAATTTAAAAGAAAAAATATGCAACTGAATAAGAAATCATTTTCCATTTATCTTAGATGTCAGTGCTTCAAAAGAGACATTTAAAATGAGGATGGGTAGAGATATAGCAGGAATTTCCATGTTTTCTACTAAAAGTACTTTAGATTGTTCCTGATACATGATATCAATTCAAAAATTTATTTTTTCCCTTAAAACATGGTATTTCACTTGCATGATTTCTGCACATTAACCATATATAAGGATAGTTTGTTGCTTAAACTATTAAGATGATCATATCAATAATGGTCTAAGAATGAGGCAGAACAAAAAGGAAATAGAACAGAGGTGTCTTCAAGAGCAAAACTTGCAACAGAAAAGGAAGAAGAAAATTTGTTGCAGGAATTGCACTTGTGCCTATGAGAAAGAGGTTGCCTATAATGGAAAACTGTCAAATGAAGGAAGTAGAAAGTGTTCAAAAACATGACCCCATAAAGGAGAAGATATGGTTTAGGAAATATTGTGTCAGAAATTTCTCTATATGTCTAGAGAGAGGTTGGGAACCAGGCAATGTTTCAGAGAGTAGGTGACAAATACATTGAGCTTCAAGAAATAATTAATTCACTATCAACTGATGAGAGAAAAAGCATTTCCAAGGAGTCATGATACGAAATTGCAGAATACATTCAAATAATGTCCAGTATTTGGTATTGCTGGAGGCTAAAGTGCCTGAGAGAGTAACAGTATTAACAGACTTTTGAAGAGTCCATAAAAGACTTTAAGGTCCATATAGTGTATCCCTTATGCATCAAAGGAAAGATTTGAAATAATCTTATGGTAAGGTTTTAAGTAAGGGTAAACATCTTTAGGTTTATGAATCAAATAAACAGTGGTATCACAGAGAACAGAACAGATGATGGAAAGACTAGACATAGGAGATGTGCTGTGCATGGAATGTGCAAAGTCTGAACCACAGTCCAGTAGGAACTGGGAAAGAAATGAAAAAAGTGGTGGAGGAGGTGTAGATTTTCAAGATTTTCAACTACAAAGAAGGTAAATAAGGACCAGTTAGTGGTTGTTTGATCACTAGGATAGGAGGGCTGTTGGGAGGAGAATGAAAAGACCTGGAGGTTTCTCAATTGGTTGGTTGAATGAGTAAAATAGAGAATAAGGAGTGAGTAAAATAGAGAATAAGTAAGACAAGTGGTATATGAAGAAATAATAGGTTAAGACTCAGACACAATGCATTCGAGCTACTTGTAGGATGTCCAAGCAAACATATATTTCAAAGACAGTAAGGTATCAAAATCTGAATCTTGAGGAAGAAGTTTCAGCTAGAGGTCACAAGCATTTGGATGATAGTTAAACCATGAGAGTGGATTAAATCTCCCAGGGAGCATATGAAGTCTGAAAGGATAAGAAGGTCTAGAATCAATATTGAGCAAACACCAAAAGTTAAGGAATGGATAGAGTTAAAAAAGCTGATAAAAGGGCTTAGAGAATGTTTAGCAATGGACTTAGTAAGTAGAAAAGAGTGGTGTCAAGAGAGTTCAATGAGAAGATAACAGCCATCGGACATCAAGCACCCCAGAGAGATAAAATAACAAGTAGACTAAAAAGTAGCCTTTGTATTAAACAATTAAAATATCATCTCTGATCTCCCTGAGAGTGGTTTCATAAAAACAATAAAATGAGAAATCAGATTTAAGTAAGTTAAAGAAAAGGAGAGTGAGAAACAAAAAAACAATGAGCAAGATGGTTTTTCAGAGGCTTTTAAATAAGAATAAAATAAAATGCTACTAGATGGTGTATAAAATTCAGAGAGGGCTGTTTGTGTTTGCTTGTTTGGACAGGACAGATTTGAGCATATTAATATACTGGGAAACAGCAATGCTACAGAATATGAGCAGGAAGATACACAAGACAGTGAGGATAACTGAAGCAATAAGTTTCCAGAGGAGACAGGAAATAATGCTTAAGAGCTAAGATGGAAGATTGGCCTTCAAGTGACACCCTGTCAACACACTGTGTATATTGTTGGATTTAACCTAAAACCTTACTCTTTGATATTAGAAGTTTCTCTGAACTTTAGCCATATCAAACTACTAAATGCTAGCAACATTAATTTAAAAAGTAAAGTTTCCAAATTAAAAAAGGAAGAAACTTTATAAATCAATTTGATCTCTCAGAGATACAGTTTCCTTCTCTTGTTTTAGCTTTACTATAAAACACACTGTATCAATGAACCAAAAGTATAACGGTGGTTCTCC